CTTAACTCGTTAAATACTAAAATTGGAAGAAAAATACATAAAACCTTTCTTGTAGAGCACGTCAATAGCTACAATTATTGTATATACGTCAACAATTAATTGGATATTTCCTTCTATACTTTTTAGCACGTAGCTATTTATCATTAGCATTATTCTTCCGACATCTGATTTATTTTTAATTACAGGAAATGCGTTTTTCTAAAGTACATAAACTTTTGATATTATCTGTATAGCCAATACATCCTTAAAAATCACTCGAATATTTCGCCATCACAGTTTGGATCGTACTGAGCGTTACATTTCTGTCCCCTCGAAGCTCATCACGTGCCTCAGTCACTGTATCCGTCACACACAATCCACCATAATAATTCGAACCAAATTATCCACTTCAACTTATAACTTTCTCTCCTCCACTCTCGTCCCGTATCTAAAATCTTCTACATGTGAATCCTTATTAAGAATTCTTCTCCTCCTTGGATTCATTAAAAAAAAAAAGCCATACCCAAAGATAGATCTGCAGCCAAAAAGGATGAAACAGGTTTTGGAGAGTTTAAATCCCTACAAGAATCCTCAGCTCCACCCTTTGTCACACGTTTAAAAAAAATTTACGATCGTTTCAAAGAAATAATCTAAATAAAAATTGAAGATTATTGCAAAAATCGGACATATGTTAAAAGAGTGAAACGAGACTATAAAAAAACATTTGACTTTCATGAATAATTGATGAAGAGAACTACGAGCAGGTGACTTACGAGCTCAATGGTAACAAAATACTGGTTTAGGCGAACGATGTGTTGCACTGTGTGGAATGTCAAGGAGAGAGTATTTCTAAAAAATGTCCTTAACCAACTCCATGACTTTTTTCAATGATTCAAGTATTTATTTCAATTCGATGAGTCAATTATGTGCAAAATTCACTGTTCACTAAGTCACTGATTTTGGAGTCTGTTTTGGATGCTTTCGGCTGTAGTGGAAGTTTGACACTGTCGTGTTGGTCGAGCTTCAGGCGAACGTGGTCGCATTCTGGACGAATGGATGATGAATTGTTTGCACAATAGAAGCTAATCAGGACCTTAATCTTATGGTAACTATTATTCACTCACGTGTCCCAGCGATAAGCTCACTTAAATATTATTATGCCAGCTTATAAACGAAGCTTGCAGACTTCTTAATTGTTATACTAAATTCCTTCAAATCTCAATTGACGTTCCTTAATTAAT